TGGTTGGTTGGGGGGTTTAAATTTTACTTTTTTAAAGCTGTGTGTGTTGGTGGGGGGAGGGGGAAGGGTTAAACTTTACTTTTACCAAGTTTTATGTTTGTGTGTGTGTTACTACAAATGGTATTAAAATTCACTTTTACCCCTACTTTCTCTCCCCTCCCGGGCGGCATTCAGCGGGCGGGGTACCTATACCACGGGATTCCCCAGTTCCTCCTGGGCCCCCCCCCCCGTGGGGGCGGGGAGCTGCTGGCTGCCCTCTGTGGCATCAACCCGGGGCGCGACCCCACCCTCTACCCCAAGTCGGGGGTCGCCTCCCTTTTCTTTGAGGGCAATCTCAAGTCTGCGAGTGAGTATACCTTGTCTGTTTTGTCTGTTTGTGTGTGTGTGTGTGGATTTGTGTTTTTGTGTGTGTGTGTGTGTTTGTGTTTATGTGTGGGTGTGTGTGTTTCAATGTGAGTGGATGTGTCTGTTTGTCTTCTTTGGGGGCAATCTGAAGTCTGCGAGAGAGTGTGCCCCGTCTGTGTTTATGTGTGTGTGTGTGTGTGTGTGTGTTTTTGTTTGAATATATGAGTGCGTGTATGTGTGTGTGTGTTGGAATGTGTGTGTGTGTATTTTTTAAAGATTGTGTGTGTGTGTGTGTTTGAGTATTTGTGTATTTAATTTTGTGTGTGTATGTGTTTGTCTGTTTGTGTATGTGTATGTTTGAATTTATTTGCTTCTGTGTGTGTGTGTGTGTGTGTGTGTGTGTGTGTGTGTGTGTGTGTGTGTGTATGTGTGTGTGTGTGTGTGCATGCATCTAAGTGTGTGTGTGTGGAATTTGACCTTTTGGTGTGTTTCATGTCAGCTGATTAGAACCTTTCATTGTTCTCAAAATGTGACATCTTTTTGAGTTGTGGTCAATATCATCCAGTGCAAAGTAACACTCTACTTCCTTTTTTGTCGCCAGTGTCCAAAAGCGGAGGCTTCAACGTGTCTTATCAGGCCCACTACTGCCCGGACAGTTGCCATGGCAACCGTGTGTGCGTGGATCGGCGCTGCGTGTGCAAGAAGGGCTACTGGGGCGAGAACTGCCTGGTTCCAGTGTGTCCCATTGAGTGCTCCGAGGGCCAGGAGCAAGGCCACTGTGTGAGTATGGTTTAAATGGGCCATCAATTTTTTTCTTCTTTTTCTTTATTCCACATTTGAGTCAAAGCGTTCTCTGATAGTTTAATCCAATCCTCTAGAATTGAACCCTAGATATATTGTTTAAATTGTTTCAAAATTTTGAAATTTAAAATAGTACTTGAAAATACATCAAATGGATAAATTCTTCAGCTCTTTTTTTATACAGATTTGAAATGGCGCTCTTATGACCTTATGCAGTTGTGAGTGCTGTAAAACATTACAAAAAACCCCCCAGATTTGAATGTTGGCTCTTTCTCCCTCTCCCCAGCACAATGGCATCTGCATCTGCGAGTCAGAGTTTGGCGGCCCGGGCTGCATCAGCCGGCTGCGCAGCAATGAGCTGAACATACAGCTGCTGTCCAACTCGGAGCTGGCCCACACGCTGGGGCCCGGCCCCGAGCAGGCGTTTGTTCCCGAGGACGAGCGGCTGTTGGGGCCCAGCCCGCGGGCGGGACACACGCTCACCTCGTGCGGGGACGGCCTGCTCTTTGTGTTCGGCGGCTACTCCCAGCGGGAGGGTATCCTGGACGACATGTGGATGTACAATGTGAGCGCGGAGACCTGGACCAATATCTCGCCGGCCACGGGGCACAGTCCTAGCGGCAGGGCCGGGGGCTTGTGGAGTTTTCAGGCCAAAATTATTTTTTTTTTAAATAATTTTTTTTTTAGTTAACGAATTTGCTGCTACTATTCTCATGCAAGAAATGTGTCTGCTTTTTCACAGCACAATATTCTGACACTAAAATTAATATTTCAGTGTTCAAACCAGTTTGAAATATTGATTTTAGTGTCAGAATATGGAAGCGAATTTATTATGCTGTGAAAAGCTGACACATTCTTGCATGAGAATAGTAGAAGCAAGTCCGTTGAGCTGATAGAAAACTCCCAACATTTCTGGTGTCAGAATACAGAGGCATATTCACCGCGCTGCAAAGCTCAAGATATTTCTGGCGTCAAAATGCAGAAACAAATTCATTGTGCAGTTAAATTCAAGACTTAATTGGTTTCAGAATACAGAGGTAAAATTTATTGCTTTGTAGAACTCTTGACTTTTCTGCTGTACATCAAAATACAGAAACAAATTCTTTGTGTGGTTAAACTCAAGACTTTTTTTGTTTTTTAATAATAATAATAAATAGCATTTATATAGCGCATATCCCCGCTCAACAGCAGGCTCTATGCGCTTTACACTTTATTATTACCCCAGGAGACCATAGAACACTCTGAAACATTCTCAGCTTCCCGGGAAGCATACAGTACAAGCAGCTGATTAAGCGCTCAAACACTAACAAACTGACAAGATCTTTCGCTGTCTATAGCCGGGTACCCATTTCCACCTGGGTGAAGTGAGGAAAATTCGTGTAAAGTGCCTTTCCCAAAGACACAACGCCGGGTCCCTGACGGGATTCGAAGCCACGACCTTACGGTTGCGAGTCCGAGAGCCTAACCACTAGGCCACCGACGCCACTGTTTCAGAATACAGAAGTAAAATTTATTACTCTGTAAAGCTCAGACTTTTCTGGTCTTCGTCAAAATACAGAAACAACA